TTTCCTTTGATACAACCACGCCCTTATCCAACTCAAGATAGCGCCCCGAATACCACGAGGACTTCGTGAGCACACCGAATACCGCGAGGACTACGTGAGGCATCGTGTCAAAATCTTTGCTAAAATCAAGGTACACAAGACCACACTCTTGGCTCTAATATACCGAAAAGAATGAAGAGAAATTCATACAACACAAGTTGCTTTTAGTAAAACATGTGAAACATTTGTTCTTTTTCAAGATATAGATGAAAGGCTTTTGCGATTATCGATTCACACACTTTTCCCCTTCTTAAAGATTGGTGTAAGATTTGCAACCTTTTAGGATATCGAAACTTCGCTCGTCTGAAGTGCTTTCTTAAATCTTTATGAAACTCAAGGTCTCGCTTAGCTCTTCCTCACAGTCTTCCAGGACCCTAGTTAAGACTTTATCTGGTCTTGGAGATATGTTTGGCATTTTAGTTTTATATCTGATAAAAACCTTCCTTCCTGCCAATGATGTAAACAATTGAACTTATCTTCATCATCTACATAGATTTGTGGAGGCGTAGACAAAATATTAATTTCGGTTTGAATATTAGTAAAGGGCCCCTGGGGCTCCTCAGCGAACGCTCAACCCAGGTCAGGTCCCAGGGGAACCTCCTGTGCTTCCCCAGTGCCAGGTCTCCTGAGGGCCAGCTTCTCAGGGCCAGTCGTACGTGGGCCTCTTCCCCCAGGTAGCGGTACGAGGGTAAATACAGGAAGCACCACCCCCCTCCTCTCCCCCCAGTGAGGGTTGAAGGTCACTCAGCTCCATCAAACATTTCCGGTAACACTGAAATGCTTCAGTATATTTCCTGGTTTATATAAGCCCAGAAGTCGTCCAGGACGGTCTATAAGCCCAGAAGTCGTCCAGGACGGTCTATAAGCCCAGATGTCGTCCAGGGCGGTCCATAAGCCCAGATGCCGTCTAACAGGGCGGTCCATAAGCCCAGAGGCCGTCTAACAGGGCGGTCCATAAGCCCAGATGCCGTCCAACAGGGCGGTCCATAAGCCCAGAGGCCGTCTAACAGGGCGGTCCATAAGCCCAGAGGCCGTCCAACAGGGCGGTCCATAAGCCCAGAGGCCGTCCAACAGGGCGGTCCATAAGCCCAGAGGCCGTCCAGGAAGAACAATCCCACAGGAAGTGATGCTAAAGTTGTTTAACAGAGCGAGGCGATTCTTTACATTCTGAAACAATGAAGCTGTATAGTTTGACCAGCCAAGGGTCTGCTATTTGGTCTAGCAGGATGGTTGGACCAGCCAAGGGTCTGCTATTTGGTCTAGCAGGATGGTTGGACCAGCCAAGGGTCTGCTATTTGGTCTAGCAGGATGGTTGGACCAGCCAAGGGTCTGCTATTTGGTCTAGCAGGATGGTTGGACCAGCCAAGGGTCTGCTATTTGGTCTAGCAGGATGGTTGGACCAGCCAAGGGTCTGCTATTTGGTCTAGCAGGATGGTTGGACCAGCCAAGGGTCTGCTATTTGGTCTAGCAGGATGGTTGGACCAGCCAAGGGTCTGCTATTTGGTCTAGCAGGATGGTTGGACCAGCCAAGGGTCTGCTATTTGGTCTAGCAGGATGGTTGGACCAGCCAAGGGTCTGCTATTTGGTCTAGCAGGATGGTTGGACCAGCCAAGGGTCTGCTATTTGGTCTAGCACGATGGTTGGACCAGCCAAGGGTCTGCTATTTGGTCTAGCACGATGGTTGGACCAGCCAAGGGTCTGCTATTTGGTCTAGCACGATGGTTGGACCAGCCAAGGGTCTGCTATTTGGTCTAGCAGGATGGTTGGACCAGCCAAGGGTCTGCTATTTGGTCTAGCAGGATGGTTGGACCAGCCAAGGGTCTGCTATTTGGTCTAGCAGGATGGTTGGACCAGCGCAGGGTCTGCTATTTGGTCTAGCAGGATGGTTGGACCAGCCAAGGGTCTGCTATTTGGTCTAGCAGGATGGTTGGACCAGCCAAGGGTCTGCTATTTGGTCTAGCAGGATGGTTGGACCAGCCAAGGGTCTGCTATTTGGTCTAGCAGGATGGTTGGACCAGCCAAGGGTCTGCTATTTGGTCTAGCACGATGGTTGGACCAGCCAAGGGTCTGCTATTTGGTCTAGCAGGATGGTTGGACCAGCCAAGGGTCTGCTATTTGGTCTAGCAGGATGGTTGGACCAGCCAAGGGTCTGCTATTTGGTCTAGCAGGATGGTTGGACCAGCCAAGGGTCTGCTATTTGGTCTAGCAGGATGGTTGGACCAGCCAAGGGTCTGCTATTTGGTCTAGCAGGATGGTTGGACCAGCCAAGGGTCTGCTATTTGGTCTAGCACGATGGTTGGACCAGCCAAGGGTCTGCTATTTGGTCTAGCAGGATGGTTGGACTAGCGCAGGGTCTGCTATTGGGTCTAGCAGGATGGTTGGACCAGCCAAGGGTCTGCTATTTGGTCTAGCAAGATGGTTGGACCAGCCAAGGGTCTGCTATTTGGTCTAGCAGGATGGTTGGACCAGCGCAGGGTCTGCTATTTGGTCTAGCAGGATGGTTGGACCAGCCAAGGGTCTGCTATTTGGTCTAGCAGGATGGTTGGACCAGCGCAAGGTCTGCTATTTGGTCTTGCTGGGTGGTTGGACCAGTCCAGGGTCTGCTAGTTGGTCTTAGTGATCTAGCAGGATGGTAGGACCAGCCCAGGGGTCTGACAGTTGGTCATAAGGGTCCAGCTGGACTCACGTTTCCCGGAAGGTCGAGTTAAGTGTGGAAATGTGGACTAAAGAGAAAGTGCTAAGCCAGTGTGACTACAAAGTCCTTAGAAGGGAATATGAGGGGTCCTAGAGCTAGGATAGGATGTTATAATCCACTTGGACCATCGGGGATCGAACGCCGTCTCTGTAAGATAGGTCGGTAATGTACCGACCAGTCAAGTGTACCCCCCATCTAGGGAGACTTTTTAATACGGGACCTTATTACCATACTTGTTCTCAGTCTCTCACCCTTCAGACTTCTCTCATTTAAAAGATATTTCTGCCAAATATTTGAAAATGAAATATTTGTCTCTCCGAATAAAATTAGCGCTCTCCTTTTTAAAGTCTTTCATATGCAAGACTTTCTGCCTCTTCTCTAAAAGAGGATTCCTTAGAGGATCAAATTCTAATAAAAAACAATATCTATCCCGCTCTCTTCTTAATCTCTCTCTCTCTCCCTCGTAAAACGTTACTATAAAGGAAACACGCAGACTTCTCGCCCGTAAAATGCGTATCTTCCATAATTATTTTTACATGCAATTTTTCGAAATTATAATAAAAGAGGATCTCTCTTTCACAAAAGATTCTCTGAGAGAGGATCTCCCTCTCACCAAAACCTCGCTCCTGCTATAAAGACCACTCCATAAATAAAGATCTCCCTGCCATAAAGACCTCGCTGCTATAATGGATAGCTCTCACCTAAATCTTTACTGGCTCACTGCTATGATAAGACATTTCAGTTCTTATTATGTCCTTCCCTCATCTTAGTTATGACGTTACGACGCGGGCAAGGCCAGTCGCGCCTTCCGCGGCCCTATATAAGGCGGTGCGGGTGCCACAACCGGCAGTTCAACTCAAACCCTCACCCGAAACGCAACAATGAAGGTACTACAAATTTACAGAATTAAGAATTCTTTCTTCCCAAGGCTGGATGAAATCACATGAACACAAGGGTTCATGTGATTTCCGTTCTCTATACAAGGTCACGTGAGAGAAAGGTCGAAGCTAAACAGGATTCTTAGCGTCGTCAATAAGATTGGAGCATTTAACAGTGATTAATTCGACGACAGCATCTCAGTATTCGGTTTGATCGCGTTGCTTCTCCTTCAGGCAGTGGCTTTGGTGATCCTGGCGGCGTCGGCGGCGGCGGTGGCGGCATGGGCGGCTCCCCAGGGCGGCTACAACTACCAGCAACCGGCTGTACAGGGAGGCGGCCAGTACCCCGACGCCCCCGCCCAGTACAACTTCCAGTGGGACGTCAACGACGAATATTCAGGCAATTTCTACGGTCACCGAGAACAGAGGGACGGAGACAACACCCAGGGAACGTGAGTCATTCATAATGCAGCATTAAATATAAACTTCTCTGAACTTTCTTGATAATTATGTATTTTTAACGTGGAAAGAATGTTTAACTTTTCAGAAACATTAGTGATCACTTGTAACTATAAAAGTCATTTTGCAGCGCCTCTTAACACCTGGTTTTCTCCTTCAACATAGGATAAATTTCACAGCTTTTGAGACTAAAACACGATAATAGCTTTAAATTCTTGCATTCACAGTTACTTCGTCCGGCTGCCGGACACCCGGCTCATGAGGGTGGACTACTACGCCGACGAGTCCGGCTACCACCCTACTATCACCTATGAGGGCGAGGCCCAGTATCCCAGCGCCCCGGCTAGGGGCTACGCTCAGCCTGCTTCAGTACCGAGCCAGGGTTACTCTCTGCCTGCTTTAGCTCCCAAGCAGCCTGCCTCAGCTCCTAGGCAGGTGTACTCTCAGCCTGCCTCACCTCCTAGGCAGGTGTACTCCCAGTCTGCCTCACCTCCTAAGCAGGTATACTCTCAGCCTGCTCAGCAGCCCTCACAGTTCTACACTCAACCAGGAAAATAGGAAATATGAAGAAAAGTTCACATTTTTAATCGTATATTACCACCGACTTTGTTTCCTTCACCGTGCCACGCAGAGAGCAACTTGCAGCGTCTCGGTCTGCCATATTATTTAGTGGTTGCTGAAGACCTGCGCTCCCTGAAGGCCCTCGAAGGTGCTGATCTGTAGCTCCTGAAGCGTCTCCAAGGCATGCAACTAGAGATTTGAGGCTCCTGAAGGCTCTTCAAGTCCTGGAGACCCCTTACCACTGGGTCATCAGCTTCATGCACCGTCTGCACCGCCTGCTGATTAGTGTTTGTACTAATTGTACATATACTTTTTTATACAAAGATTCTTTAAATATGACAATAAAAATAGAATGAATCTGAAAAAAACTTTTACATGTAACCTTGATACATTTAGTTGGGGCAAAAATAATATTTGTACCCATGGTTTATGCCTGTATCCAAGGCTTATGTCGATACCCATGGCTTATGTCGATACCCATGGCATATGTTTGTACCCATAGTATATGTCTGTACCAACGGCTATGCCTGTTCCCATGGCATATGTCTGTACCCACGACTTATATCTGAACTAATTGCTTATGCCTGTACCCATGGCTTGTATTGGTACCCAAGGCTTGTGCCGGTACCCACGGCTTGTGCCGGTACCCACGGCTTGTGCCTGTGCCCACGACGTATGTCTGTGCAATGACTTATGTTTCGGCCTTCCAATCGACGTTTCTCCTCACAATCCACACCCACTACGAGATATAAGAACGCATCCCCATAATTTAGACAACTTTACAGGTAAGAAAGTCTCCCTCTCTCCGGGCGGAGGCGTGTACAGGAACCAGTCCGCTGCGGCCCGGGCTACCAGAAATACCAGTCAATTAACTTTGAACATGACAAGGTCCCAGTCTTCTGACTGAAGCTGTTACGGAGGGGGCATGTAGCCCCCTCCGTAACATCGCGCAAGAGGGGGCCTACGCGGAGACCCCAATAGGCCTAGGAAGATGATTCCAAAGGGAACTAGAGTGAAAACAGAGGGAAGGAACGTGAATCCAAGGGGAAGGAAAGTGAATACAGAGGGAAGGAAGCAAAGTGAATCCAAAGGGAAGGAAGATGAATTCAAATGGAAGGGAGGTGCACAAATGAGGACGATGAGATGATTAAAGAGGAGGCTATCGTGACCTGAGGTCAGTGGGTACCACTAAACCTCCAAACTGCGCTTGAAGAGCCCGGTTCCTGGGAGTGGTAGACTGACAGGGTACCTGGCGTAATAGGCAGACAGGGTGGTAGGTTGACAGGGTAGGTAATTATCAAAACGTACATCTCCTGTGCCAGGGTAAGTCCATTACGGGCTCACCATAGACCGTGCTACTAGGAACATTTTCAAGTAGAATCTAAAACAACAACATTAACAAAAGAAGGCACCAAGCCAGGGAGACTATGTAGCTCATCACCCGAGCAACGCCGTCTACACCTCCTCTAGCACCCTTACATTACGGACCTTCAGGAAACAGTCTAAATGAACACACACACACACACACACACCTAAATTGTTGCATAGCCACATTAGGAGAAAAACAACAGTAAAGGAACAGGTTATGAGATTAAGGATAGGGGCGGAAGGATTCACTACAAATGACAAGGAAATGTGTGAGGAATTGAATAAGAAATTCCAGGAGGTCTTCACCTTAGAACAAGGAGAAATTCCAGAGGTAAGTGAGGGAATAGCTAACCAGGAACCACTGGAAGAGTTTGAGATTACCAGTGGGGAAGTAAGGAAGTGTTTACTAGAGTTGGACGTGACGAAGGCTATAGGCCCAGATGGAATCTCCCCTTGGGTTCTAAAGGAAGGAGCAAGAGAACTGAGCCTACCACTCTCCATAGTGTATAACAAATCACTGGCAACAGGGGAACTGCCAGATATTTGGAAAGCAGCTAACGTAGTCCCGATATACAAGAAAGGGGATAGACAGGAGGCACTGAACTACAGGCCAGTGTCCCTAACCTGCATACCATGCACGCTGATGGAGAAGATTGTGCGAAAAAAACTAGTGGAGCATCTGGAGCGAAGGAACTTTGTAACACAGCATCAACTTGGGTTCAGGGATGGCAGGTCCTGCCTCACAGGGTTACTTGAATTCTACGACCAGGCAACAAAAATAAGGCAAGAAAGAGAAGGGTGGGCAGACTGCATATTTTTGGAATGTCAGAAAGCCTTTGATACAGTACCACACAAGAGGCTAGTGCGAAAGTTGGAGATGCAGGCTGGAGTGAGAGGGAAGGTACTCCGGTGGATAGAGGAATACCTAAGCAACAGGAGACAACGAGTCTGTGTGAGGGGTGAGGCCTCAGATTGGCGAGACGTCACAAGTGGAGTCCCGCAGGGGTCAGTCCTTGGACCTATACTGTTTCTGGTATATGTAAATGATCTCCCAGAGGGTATAGATTCGTTCCTCTCAATGTTTGCCGACGATGCAAAAATTATGAGGAGGATTGAAACAGAGGATGATAGTAGGAGGCTACAAGATGACCTGGATAGACTGAGTGAATGGTCCAACAAATGGCTGTTGAAGTTCAACCCGAGTAAATGCAAAGTAATGAAACTAGGCAGTGGAAACAGGAGGCCAGGCACAGGATACAGAATAGGAGATGAAGTACTTAATGAAACAGACAGAGAGAAAGATCTAGGAGTTGATATCACACCAAACCTGTCTCCTGAAGCCCACATAAAGAGAATAACGTCTGCGGCATATGCGAGGCTGGCTAACATCAGAACGGCGTTCAGGAACCTGTGTAAGGAATCATTCAGAATCTTGTACACCACATATGTAAGACCAATCCTGGAGTATGCGGCCCCAGCATGGAGCCCGTATCTTGTCAAGCACAAGACGAAGCTGGAAAAAGTCCAGAGGTATGCTACTAGACTAGTCCCAGAACTAAGAGGCATGAGTTATGAGGAAAGGCTGCGGGAAATGCACCTCACGACACTGGAAGACAGAAGAGTAAGGGGGGACATGATCACAACCTACAAAATCCTCAGGGGAATCGACCGGGTAAACAAGGATGAACTATTCAACACTGGTGGGACGCGAACAAGGGGACACAGGTGGAAGCTGAGTACCCAAATGAGCCACAGAGACGTTAGAAAGAACTTTTTCAGTGTCAGAGTAGTTAGTAAATGGAATGCACTAGGAAGTGATGTGGTGGAGGCTGACTCCATACACAGTTTCAAGTGTAGATATGATAGAGCCCAATAGGCTCAGGAATCTGTACACCAGTTGATTGACGGTTGAGAGGCGGGACCAAAGAGCCAGAGCTCAACCCCCGCAAGCACAATTAGGTGAGTACAATTAGGCGAGTACACGTAGGCTCCTGTGGTTACACGACAGATTCGTCTTGAACATGATAAAATAGCAGAACCAAGTAGACAACTCCACTGACATTATTTTAACAACCTTGGACTGATAATGATTAAAAATGATGAAATGATTATGATTAAACATAATGATTAAAAAAACAAATGAAGCTCATCGAAGCTCAGACAATCATGGCAATCAATTTCAGGAGAATTGTGAAAATTTTAATTTTAATAATCAAATTAGGAACTGGAAATGAACAGTCCGAGACATCTCATAAATAAGCTGGTAGGAGCAGCTTAATAATTTAAACCCAAGTAAATAATTGTTAAAACCTAAGTCAGTGCCATGAAAGAACAGGCACAATAGCACTAGCTCAAGACGGTCCATCAGCCCAGATGACGTCCAACAGAGCGGTCCATAAGCCCAGAGGCCGTCCAACAGGGCGGTCCATAAGCCCAGAGGCCGTCCAACAGGGCGGTCCATAAGCCCAGAGGCCGTCCAACAGGGCGGTCCATAAGCCCAGAGGCCGTCCAACAGGGCGGTCCATAAGCCCAGAGGCCGTCCAACAGAACGGTCCATGAGCCCAGAGGCCGTCCAACAGGGCGGTCCATAAGCCCAGAGGCCGTCCAACAGGGCGGTCCATAAGCCCAGAGGCCGTCCAACAGGGCGGTCCATAAGCCCAGAGGCCGTCCAACAGGGCGGTCCATAAGCCCAGAGGCCGTCCAACAGAGCGGTCCATAAGCCCAGAGGCCGTCCAACAGGGCGGTCCATAAGCCCAGAGGCCGTCCAACAGAACGGTCCTTAAGCCCAGAGGCTGTCCAACAGAGCGGTCCATAAGCCCAGAGGCCGTCCAACAGAGCGGTCCATAAGCCCAGAGGCCGTCCAACAGGGCGGTCCATAAGCCCAGAGGCCGTCCAACAGGGCGGTCCATAAGCCCAGAGGCCGTCCAACAGGGCGGTCCATAAGCCCAGAGGCCGTCCAACAGGGCGGTCCATAAGCCCAGAGGCCGTCCAACAGGGCGGTCCATAAGCCCAGAGACCGTCCAACAGGGCGGTCCATAAGCCCAGAGGCCGTCCAACAGGGCGGTCCATAAGCCCAGAGACCGTCCAGGAACAACAATCACATCGGAAGTGATGCTAAAGTTGTTTAACAGAGCGGGGCGATTCCTTTCATTTTGAAACAATGATGAAGCTGTAGTTTAACCAGCCCAGGGTCAGCTAGTTGGTATTAGTGGTCTTGCTGGGTGGTTGGATCAGTCCAATGTCTACTAGCTGGTCTTAGTGGTCTGGGAGGATGGTTAGACCAGTTTAGGCGTCTGGCAGTTGGTCATAAAGGTCCAGCTGGGCTCACGTTCCCCGGAAGGTCGAGTTAAGTGTGGAAATATGGACTAAGGAGAAAGTGCTAAGCCAGTGTGACTACAAAGTGCTTGGAAGGGAATATGAGGGTCCTAGAGCGCGGAGAGGGCGTTATAATCCACTTGGACCATCGAGGATCGAACGCCGTCCCTGTAAGATAGTTTGGTGATGTACCGACCAGTCAAGTGTAACCCCCCATCCCCATCTAGGGAGACTTTTCAATATGGGACCTTTCTACCATACTTGTCCTCTGTCTCTCACGCTTCACACCTCATTTAAAAGATATTTTTGTCACGAAATATTTGTCTCTCCTAATAAAATTAGCGCTCTCCTTTCTAAAGTCTTTCATATGCAAGACTTTCTGCCTCTTCTTTAAAGAGCCTCACTCTCACTAAACACTTAGATTAAATTCAAATTCTAATAAAAAAAATATCAATTTCTCTCTTCTTTATCTCGTAAAACGTTCTTATAAAGGAAACACACAGACTTCTCGCCAGTAAAATGCGTATTTTCCATAGTCATTTTTACATTCAATTTCTCAAAACTCTACAATAAAAGAGGATCTCTCTCTCGCAAAAGACTCTGAGAGAGGATCCCCCTCTCATCGAAACCTCGCTCCCGTAGACCTGCTATAAAGACCACTCCCCCCATAAAGACCTCCCTGCTA